CTTATTTTAAAAAATTTTTATATACCTTTTTATCAAATAACAAGTCTAAATTAGCCAATGAAGCAAGACTATGTGATGCATTAACATTCGAGGGTAATGAACCACCTTCCCTTTGCCTAGCAGACACACTGGGTCCTGTATATTTTTTATTCTTTCTTCTATTTCCTCCGTAAGTATGGCTAGATCCAGAAGTTAGATAAGCAAAACTACTATCAAATTCTGAAGCAATAGGTTGTGCCAAATTTTGTAGTGATCCTCCGTGTGTCAACCTTTCAGATACAGAGTCTCTTTTATGCCTTCTACGATTTGATCCAGGTAAGCAACGTGAATTTGTTACTATTCTACGACCTTCTTCAGTTTCATCAGCTTCTGCTTCTTGCAGTAGTTCCTAAAATGGATACCATTAAATTATTGTTTCAATACAAGAAACAAAAAAACTAGTATACTTACTTTAAAAAGACTTGATTTTCCTTCACGATCTTTGGGACACTTGTAAGTTATAGCTTCATCCAACAGTGCACGTAATTCACCCTCATTTAATGTAGACAAAGTAGCTGGTTCTTCCTAAAAGTTATAATGAAAAAAAGTTTACAAATTTGTCACATTTCCTTGAAGAAAAAAAAAATGAATAATGTACTAAATACAATTGTAAGTTTTTATATTTTAAAAAGACATAAAGTTGCAAATTAAAACTTACTGACATTAAATAAGAACTATTATGTAAGCTATTATGAATTGACAATATCAAATATATTTTTGTATACAATAAAAGAAAAATATTTGTTTTGAAAATATATGCATTAATCAAAGAATATTATTATAAAAACACATGTTATAGAACTTAAACTACGTAATATGTTTGTGAACACTTTGTTTTTAACCTATACAAGGTTTAGGAACATGTTTGGCAATGTAGATTCAAATATGGAAAGTATGCCAAGAAACCAATCTAAACTTTAGGTGTAAGACATAAATGGGAATACATTCAAAGATGTATTAAGAAACTAAAGGATATTCAGGACATCTATGACTTGTTCAAATTATTGTATTGCAGTCTTCGTTACTTTTGTGTTATCTTATTGTTTATCTTTTAAGAGAAATTATTCACTATAATTACAGTATAAAAACATACAATTTTTCAATAAATTATTTTGTACCTAATCATTCATACTAGTAATGCTACTTGTCCTTAAAAATCTTTATACTTTTATTATTACTATTATTAGTAGTAGTAATTGTTATTATTAATAGTAATATAATACAAATAAATAATTTATAAAGAGCAAGTTTTGTTTCATGATAATTACACCATTATGTGTTATATTCAACACCATAATATAAACTAGACCACAAGGTAGATAAAGATGGTTATAGATAGATTCAGAGAGTGAATTTAAGGTTTCACTTATTGGATTTTATGACGAAATATACAGACCACATAGAAAAAAGTATATTGGTATAAATGATGTACACTAATGTCATAATTAATGCTGTGTGTGTGTCGCGTGTGCGTGCGCGCGTGCGTGCACAAGTGCACATATTATTTTTATCATGTTAATTATATACACTTTATTTCTTGTGAACTGAAAGATATTTAATTTATTAATTTATATTTAACCATTAAAATCTAGGATATTTGTATCAGTAAGATCAGTTTGCGTATTTTTCATTATATCACTGTTTTTACAATGCTAACCAATCTATGCAAATAGCTTGTACCATTATTGTACTAAAATGTACATAACTGTTTACATAACAGCAAAAAAATTATAACTCTACACAGACTTTTATTTGATCTACTTACAAAATACTGCATGAATATGATCAGAAAATGGATATTTTTCACCTGTAGACTATAAACAAAGTAGAAAATATTGCAAGAAATCGTGCATGATGTGATATTTATTTTCGTGGTAATTCGACTAACATTGCCTTGCGGTAACCTGACTAGCTTCATTCAAAGCAAAATATCTTATCAGAATGGCTGCCCACGTTAAAAAAGAAAAAAAATAATTGAATACTACAGTCTTTCTTTTTCATTTGAGACAGTATACAAATATTGTCGGAAAACAAAGCGTTTAGTAACAAACTTTTTTATTGAAGGCTACGTAGAAAAAGTTGAAAACGATTACGATTGCTCCCAGAATACGTCGGTTTTGCAGAGATAACAAAATCTTTCCGAACTTATTGACCGTGAATCGTGGTACATACAATGAAATATTTCATACATTTTCGTAGCTAGGTTAATAATAAACTCTCTTATCATTCGTTCGGCAAAAAAAAAAAAAATTATCATTCGTTTCGCAGTGTTGAGTAACATGCCTCGGAAAAGGTAGAAAAAAATGTGGGTTTGTGTACGAACACAATACAAACCAATCGTCTTTGAAGATTCGGAAAGCACTGTTAATGAATACTCATAAGTCCTTGAAAATACGAAAAGGATAGCCAATAGCAAGTTTACCTTCGCTCGCAAATTAAAATAGGACACACACCAGAAATGAATTTGGGCTTGTCCAGAGATCGATAGGGGGTCGCGATTAGCTAATTGAGACACGAGATACCGGGGTGACTTACAGACGAAGGAAAAATCTGCTGGGCAGTGCCGGCACGGAATTTATATTTTTAGAGGGCACCTGGGTCGGCTGCAGTCGTCTCTGCTCCGTCGAACTGCAGTCCCACAGTATAGCACCGTTACGCAGAGATTTTGCGCATTCGAGTACACGATAAATGTGGTCGACGATATGCTATCACTGTTCACAAGAAATAATATCGGCAGTATCAAAAATACGCTGCCGATTTAAATGCTATTGTGACGAGCGGGCGCGGCGCGCTCTTCTCACCATGGCCGCCGCCATTACACTGAGAATACGGCCATTCCAGGATCGTAATAAGTGAGGGCCCCTTGATGCCCGTATTCGTTATCCTTTGTCAATCTATATTATCGCATTGTGTAGTGTGTTTGAATAAGTTGCACGAACTTATATGAAAATTTGTTCATTAATTACAGTTCATTTATGTGCATGTTCGGTTTAATTTTTCAAGTCATATTTATTCATTTCGTACTGAAAATTTAAAATATGGAATTGCACAGAAACTGTTGTTCTCCTTTGTCAAATTTAATGCAACTCTTTTTATAATTGTGTAACACAAATATGTAAGAAGTGAAAATATTATAAGGTTTAATCATGTGACAGCATCAGCACTACTTGTGCAAAGTTATTCATATGTAAATAGCAATACAATAATGATTTTTATTATTACATTTTGTATGCTACTCTCTTGTGACGGGATATAAAATATAATTATTCATATTTATTCATATCATAATATTAAACTATAATAAATGAATTACAAGTAAATATTGTAAAATTAAAATTTTTATAGAAAACTTTTTTGTTACAAAGTTTTTAAATAAATCATATGCAAGTAATCTGTATTTGAAATGATATTTAATACATACTGAACTACATTTAATGTATTTAACTAATTTTTATTGAAAACTTAAAAATAAATACAATTTAAAAATTATAAGCTTTAACTATATATCTTGATAGATATTTGCTATTTTAAACAACACATAATACAGCAGACATTTCATTCAAATTTTTGTAGTATAAATAATAACATGATTAAAATATTAATTGTATTAACCATTTTATATACTCTATTAACATGTCCACAGTCCCATACCCATATATGGGTCAGCATACTCCC